GTTCGCAAATAAGGGGGTTTATAAGGAACTTGAGGCAGGAGCATGGTAAGGAGAAAAATAACGAATAAGTGGGTAGCCGACAGAAAACTCAAACATGTAATTGTGGAGGTCTGGTGCTGAATTACCGAAAAAAAAGGACAATCAATCACGGAACTATGGACAGTCAGAAAACGGTAAACATATCTAAGCAGAAATTTGGCGGAAAGACTAAACATAAGCCCAGTGTCGAGGAATAAGTAGAATACAGCATAGAGCAGACGACGAAATAAAATTAGCAGGAGAGAGGGGTGAATAACATGAGGGGCGGAGGGAGAAGGTAAGAAGGTAAAGGGAAAGGAGGATAGGAGAGTGGAAGATATAGAGACAGACGAGGAGTTGGGTGGAAATAGAAACCGAGGAGAAGCTAAGCCTAATAGGTAGGAGAACAAATATAAGGGAGGGAGGGAAAATGCGATGAGAATGTCAAAAGAGAAGGCATAATAGAGCAGTGGACGAACGAATAGTAGGATAAGGAGGCAAAGAGGGGGAGGAGGACCGAAAGGAGAAGGGAAGAAGCTAAGGTAAAACGGGAGGGGGAGAATAAGAGTGGTGGAGGGAGGAGGTGTAGAGGAAAGGATGCATGAGAAACGAGAAGGAAAGGGAGGACTCGTTAGGTGGAAAGATAGACAAAGGAGTAACTAAAACATTACAAAAGAATCAGAAGAGAAACGAGCGGCGTTATCAGTAGAAGAATAACAATAAGAGCGTAAACCTACTCTTCCAGGAGAGGTACCGCACGCGGATCGACGAGGAAAGTGGAGTCATACTTGCCCAGAACAGATTGACGAACACGGCTGCAGATACGTGTAAAGAGAACCATCTCTACGGTCATGCGCTGATTGGGTAGAGCAGCGATTGTACGATCCAGACCAGAAGATGTTGAAATTCCGCTGACACTGCTTCCATTCATTCTTCTGCTTCTTTCATCATACTCAGCTAGGGTTAAAGAATTAAACAAGTGAGAGAATACGACGAAAGTAATTGTCTGGAATTAGTGCGATTCGGGAATAAAACGTGTAACCCTTAAGGGTTTTTTGCACAGAGGTCTTCCAGGTGTCATACACAATGAAGACATCAGAAGTAGTTACACAAAGTCTTACGCTTACAACGGAATGGAGGTTGCCCAAAAAGGCTCAGTGGGTAGTGGGGCGTGAAGCCGTACTCATCGAACATGGGCAGGCGGAGAGCCGATCCAGCAACAATAACCAGCAGGTGAATGATCCCGAGAACAAAGCTCTTTGTCTCCTCAATGGTCGTAAGTCCATAGACGACATCTGCGCTCGTATCGCTGATCATACTGTCGCTGGAGGAGCAGTTTTTACCAACAGGACGAACAATGCCGTTGCGTACCTAAAAGCATTTTAAAAGTATACGTGTGAACGTTCTACTTTAGTACAATAAGTAGCCATGGTTTATGCAGAATAGAGAGGAAGCCTTACCCGAGCCTTTCCACAAGGGATGCCCTCAATACCAAGACCCCCATCCTCCATGGGATCTGAAAGTTCCTTCCGCCAAGACTGCAGCTCAACATCCTCCAGGAGATCTACGGGTCCACGGGCTGGAAACAATAAAAGGGCATTTATTAGACCGAACGGCAAGGCAGGTCCTTCCTAGCAGACAAGAAGTTTATCGTGTTTCGCAGGGCTTGGTCAAAATGAAGTCTACTTTATAGATAAACGCTAACCGCCCAGGCACGTGTCTCTCTGATAGGCCGTGGCTGCACGGCAGCTGTAAGTGGTTAGGCACAGCAACTAGTCCCCTAACGTTCCCTCTATTTGTCTTTTGGTAGACTGTTAAATCTTGAAATGTCGGCTTTCTGATTTCCTCCGCTCATAGCTGCCCCATGTAGCGACAAAACCTCGTCGAAACGCATATCTGGTATTTTACCTAGTATCTTTGCTGTGAAGAATGGTATATAATGCAATCTATATATGACTGCAGTATTATTAACATTCGCTTGCGATGTAACTGCATGCTAACGCATTCATCGCCATGGGAGGTCACATTTGGTACGACGAGTGCCTGCCTATCCCCATCCATGTCATCTAGTGCCACAAGTTCATAAGTGGTATTGAATAGTAGGGTACTGGAAGATGTGTTCCCTAGCTCTACGTGATGCAGTACTCTATTCAGACCAAGTTTCAGTGTTTATTAAAGAAGTGGGAGGTCGTTGCTTTTGCTAATTGAATGCGAATCGGGAAACCACGACTCAAGCAACTTGCTGCTCATGTGTTTGGCCCCTCTCACAAGAATTCACACCTGGCCGGGTCGCTGAGAGTCCCTCGCCCCCTTCTATGGCTGCTTCTGAGGATGGAAGCTTGGGGGCAGGATCCGAAACAAAAGGCGGTAAAATTCTTCTTCCAGCCACCGCGACTCCGACGTCTCAGTCACTACATGAACCTTGCCGTTTCGTTTGTATTGTGCACTTCTTGCAAATCCTAGTCCAACAGCCCCCTCCAGTTGTAAATGTAACCAAAGCCGAGATGTCACCACCTAATTACGCCTTGTGTGAGTCCCCAATGAAGAACACGGAAAGAATAGCTCAAAAAAGAAACATCTTAGTGTAAGTAGTACAACATATTTAAGGTAACAAACGCGTGTGCAGCCATGTCCATCGGGCCATTTAGATACTGTCCTGGCGTGAGTAGCGACATCATTGGCTCGTGACTCAACAGCTGGCTTTTCAGAGTCTTCGCCTGACCGCGGCTTTAAATGTTAAATGATTGACTGATTGATTGCCAGTTTGCGTTGACCGTGTGTAGGCTGATCGATAGCCCGCCATGAGCGCGGCTCGCTGCCTGTTCGCGTGTCCGTTAAGGCTGCTGCTCTTAACACCTCCCCCCCCCCACTATACCTCCATGAACGCGACCCCTCCTGTGAGCCAAGAACCCCTGCCTAGGTTCCTTTCCTCGCTCTTACAGGTAAGTGATTCACGACATAATTGTTGTGCATTATGCATGCCGATTACTGGAGAGCTTATCAAGAGCTTGTGTAGTGCGATAAGTAGGCTCGGTACTTGACGCACCTGTCAGATGTCAGCTGCAAATGAAAGTCTGCCGTAGGCACCAATCCGGCCGGTGACTAGGCTGAGAAGTACATATAGCATTCACACGCGACTGCAAGTACTGTTGACGCAAGCTCTGCAATTATGTGAGTGTGTACACAGGCGTGCGCACGGACCTAACACAGCCCGTGCATTATGTGAGCAGCTGTATTAATCACTGAACGCCATAAAGTGCTGACGACATTCTTAAGTGCCGCCTTCCAGTAAGTCAGCGCGAAATTTTCGGGAAAGGCAGGTCACTAGATAGTGGCATAATGGCTTCCGCTAAGGCTTCTTCCAGGCGCCTATCTCAACAGCACTCCCAACAAAACCGACCTATAAGATGCCCGAACGTTCTGTTGAGCTTCTTTGTCGATCTTAGCTTAAATACATATGTAATTAAGGATTTAGGAAGCTCTGCTCACTATTTCAGTATTTTATGAACATAATATTTGGAAGGAGGGAGTATCATGTTAGTAAGGGTCTTCGTTAAGAGGGTTTCTGAGATTCGTCTGTATGTAATATCCGTGGGTCTTTGAGGTTTGCCTATGAAGAAAGGACGATCATATCGAGCATTCTTCAGGAAGCTGAGTATCTTCAGAAGAAAGCAGAGCGAACTGGAAAAAAATGTTTCCCTACAAACATGAAAAGAAATAGCTCGTAATCAGCCGGAAAGCATAAAATGCAGTGCTTGCTCCGTGACCAGTGAATGCCCAAAGCCGGAGGGTTCGGCCACATTGGAAAACTTTATGAACAAACACAGGGAAGGCTGGGAGGGCCATTTCTGGCTTATTGGCTATCGTTAGCCCGTCAGTCAGTGGGAAGACAAATCTGGAGGCTTATTACTTGCGGCGGGCTTGCGCCATCTCAGCAGCGAAATATCTGAAAGCGTTGACCAATCTGTATTGGCTGCAAGGCGGACATGGGCGTCTTTACTTAGTCCTCGAGGTTCAATCGAGAGGCTTCACAGGCGGGCAAATGACACTGGACTATCAGCTAACACGAAGTACTACATGGAAAGGCAATGGAGACGGGAACAACCATTACTGACCTAGTGCCCTAACCAGTCAACTATACGCCCAAGTCCTGAGAGCTTTGGAATTCGTGCTGGATATTTTACAGTAAGTTGGGAGTCAGAAATACAAATGCTTTAAAAACGTCACTTAATCCATACCAGCTTGCGGGCGGGTGGGTGGCTTTTACAAAATATGAAACAGCAAATGTCCTGAAAACGCAAAGGCCCCTTTTTATAAATACTTACCTCCAAGACGAAGTATTTTTTTCTCATAAAACTAAGCAAGCATTATTTAAATGGCCCCCTAAACAGGCCACGCGAATAAGAGCGCCGCGTCTCAATAATAAAGATGGTTTTGCGCATAATTCCAAGAGGGGTAAATACTCCCATGTCCTAACCCTTACACTACATCCAGCATAAGCCTAAGCCCTCGACCTTATCTTAAGCCTACCTCCACCCGAAAGTAACACTACAGTAAACCCTAACTCTAAGTTACCTGGAAATTGCCGCAAAGCCGCCTATACTGTGAGCATATAGGCAATTTTAGCAGCGGATGCTTCTGCAGCCCTACTAACGAACACAGCTGATACGCATGCGTTTGGTGCCGAAACGGTGGCAATGGGGATAGGGCAGTTTAAAGAACGCGAAAGGGCGGTAGTGTGTTGGCAATAAAAAGAAATGTGTATATACCCACCGCCATCTATCAAGTGAACTGTTGTTAGAACCATATTACACACCCACCTACGCGTCTATCTAACTCTGCCTATCGTGCGCGTTAGGCTTAAAATTCTTTGGTGCAGAAGCATTCCGTGTCGTAAGCCTTATCCAGAACTATTTTGCGAAGTGGGTTTCCTAAGACAAAACTGACTACTAGTAGGTATAATAAGCCAACGCAATTATGCATAACGCCGGAGAGGTCGATTG